ATAATAATAATAATAATAATAATAAACATTTATATAGCGCACAAACCAAGACTGTTCTAGGCGCTTTACAGTAATACAAAATCCAATCTTAAAAACTAGTGTTAAGAATGTTAAAACTATAGAATACATCATACACTATTTAAAAACAAGTTAAAAAGATATGTTTTAAGAAACTTCTTAAAAATGGTTAATGATTCACCCATCCGAAGATGAACAGGTAAATCATTCCACAATCTTGGTCCAGCAACACAGAACGATCTGTCTCCGTATGTCTTTAGTCTAGAATAAGGAATCTGGAGCAATTCATTTCCATTTGATCGAAGAGTACGCTGCGAAGTACGACACAGCATAAGTTCCTTCAGATACGATGGAGCAAGATCATTAACAACTTTATAGACAAGAAGTATAATCTTGAATTGAATACGGTATTGGACAGGTAACCAATGCAATTCGATAAGAACTGGGGTGATATGCGCCGATTTCTTAGTATCAGTTAGTAAACGAGCTGCAGTATTTTGGACTCTCTGAAGCTTCTGAAGCAAATATTTGGGTACACCGTACAACAGGGAGTTACAATAATCCAGTCTTGAAGTTATAAATGCATGAATAATTATTTCTAAGCAATTTCGAGGTAGATACTTCTTAATTCTTGAAATATTCCTAATATGGTAGTAAGCTGACTTGCAGATACCATTAATATGTTCGCCCAATCTGATCCACTCGTCAAAAATCACCCCCAGATTTCTTGCTGAAACAGTTGGCACAATTTTTTCCTTTCCCACCATGATATAATTTAAGGGAGGCATCAGATGATAGCGTGAATGGACTAATATAAGCTCCGTTTTGCCACTATTTAGTTTCAATTTATTCAACATCAACCAGTTTCCCAATTCAAGTATACATTTCTCCATGCGGATCTTAGATGATATTAAATCATCACGATCATTCGTTTTGAATGCAATGTAAAGTTGCCCATCATCAGAAAAAAAGTGAAAGCGCAGATTGTGGCGCCTAGCCACATCCGCGAGAGGGGCAGTATAGAGTGAATACAACAGAGGACCCAACACAGATCCCTGAGGTACACCACAATCAAGATCACTCAATAACGAATCAGTTCCCTCAACACGAATAAACAGTTTCCTGGATGTAAGGTATGAGGTAAGCCAATCCAACACACGACCCCTTATGCCAAAGCGTTTCGATAGTCTTGTTAATAACATTAAATGATCCACGGTGTCAAAAGCCGCCGACAGATCCAGTAGGACAAGAATAACAGAATCACCGTTATCTAGAGCTTGAAGGATATCATTTTGAACCCTCAATAGCGCTGTTTCAGTACTATGACAAGGTTTATAAGCAGACTGGAATTTCTCATGTAGATGATTTTCAGTAAGATAATCAGTTAATTGTACAGCAACTGCTTTCTCAATAGATTTCGAGACAAATTTCAGATTTGATATTGGACGAAAACTGCAGAATTCTTCATAGGAAAGATTGTACTTTTTTAATAGCGGTTGAACAACAGCAATCTTCAAAGAGTCAGGCATTGTACCACTTTCCAAGGAGAGGTTGATTATTCTAACTACAACGGGTAAGATGTCTTTAAAACAGTGATTTAGCATGACCACCGGGAGTGGATCCAGAGAACAGGATTTAGTTGCGATACGTTGGATTAAATGGAGCACTTCGTCTTTTCCAACCTCCCTGAAGGTGTGAAATTCATAAGGACATGAATCAGCATCAGGTATAGGATTTTCTATGTTTTTACTCAAGAGTTCATCTTCGATATCACCTCGTATTTTAACAATTTTCTGAGTGAAGAAATCACTAAATGAGTTGGCAAGTGACATTGGGTCAGGAGAAGATGGATAGCGAATAATCGTATTTGTATGCAGCAAATTGCTTACAGTCTTGAAAAGGGTTTTTTGATCAGATGATCCATTATTAATTAAGTCGGTATAGTAAGCCGATTTTGAGGAGTCGATAAGTTTATTTACAGCATAACATTGTTGTTTATAGCGATTCCAATCAGCATTCGTCCTTGTTTTATGCCATTTTCTCTCAAGTTGTCTCCGAATTCGTTTCTTATCATTGATTTCGTTAGTATACCAGGGTGCCTTAGGGCGCAATGTAATTTCCCGGGATTTAATCGGTGCATGGTTATCTAAGATAGTATGAAGACAATCATACTCATTCACCAATGATACTAAATCCATAGTCGTAAAATTCTTAAGAAGAAAAGAATTTAGTACATCCGTTTTGAATTTATGAATATTAACCGCCCGCAAATTACGAAGAAGCAAATGTTTCTTCACAAACTTCGGTTTCCTAATCAATAGTTGTAAATGCACAACTGAATGATCAGAAATCAGAGGATCGAAGATGTTGTAATGGTTAACAATGTTTTCTTCAGATCGCGTTGTAATTAAATCCAGTGTGTGACCACTTGCATGTGTTGATCCAGAAATGTACTGCTTCAAATCAAAGGAAGCGAGAAGATCGACGAACCGTTTGGTAAGAGGGTCATTAGGATTGTCCAGATGAAAATTGAAATCTCCAGCTATCAAGAGTTGCCCGGGTGATACAATAATTCCTTCCAAAAAGGATGAGAACTCTTCAAAGAATAGAGTAGATGTCAATGAGTTAGCCGATGAAGGAGGCGGCCGATATACAACAATAATTCTAATATGTAGAAAGTTCAAAAAAGAACTGTCAAGGTATTCAAATGACCTAAATACCTCCTGTACATTACGCTTAATATTAAGACTTTCCTTGAATAAGAGACCAACGCCCCCACCGATTGATCCATGTCTCGGTGTATGCAGAAAACTATAACCTGTTGGGCATAGATCCCCAATAATCAAATCGTTCCCACTTGGAGGGAGCCAAGTTTCCGTCAAAGCAAGAATATCAGTATCTTTATCCACAACAAAATCTTTAATAATCATAGTCTTGTTTCTAACCGATCTGGCATTAAGAAGGGAAAAATCAAATAAGTTTGTAAGTTCACATTTAGAAGTAGAAGGGACCGTAGGCACAACAATTAGGTTAGAATAGAAACAGTTTATGACCGAATTACTTTGCGGACCAGCTCCAGATGCCTGAGCCAGTCGGTCTGATGTCGATGTCGAAAAACCTGACTCCGGTACGCACGTCTATGTTTATTTACTTTCTCTGGGTTCACTGGCAGTGGGCGGTGAGTGATACGTACTGGAATGCTTCGAAATTGTTGACCACGATCATGTAAATAACTAGAGCAAGATTGCCTACCAGGAACATTATAATGACAGCTTTGTTCTTTTTGAATAGGATTTGTACGGCTTCCCGTATGGGAAAGCTCGCCTATTTTTGATTGTTCACTATTGTTCCTAACAGGGAAAACTACCTTTGTCAGGGTTAATTCCTCTTGTGAGTGATTGATGGATTTTGGCAATGGCACCAAATCATGGTGTGACGTTTTCTCGCATGACTGATCTATAGCCATAAAAGTTTCTGTGTTATCCGGTACTTTTATTGGTGTGAAGCATGCATCGTTAGCGGTCCGAACAACAACGGGATTAATGTGAGGATTTGAATTACTAACCTCTTTTGTTTTGTTCGTGCCGCCGCTGCTAATGGGTGTAGAGGTTGTCAACATATTTTCGAGATTTGCATGATTTTTCGGCTCTTTTGGTCGGCAATCGTTCATGCGTAATATTTGGTTTTCCACGGCTTGGATTTTATGGTTGAGTTTCGATTCCAAAACAACCAAGTCTAATTTCCAACCCTCCAAGTCTGGTGATAGCTTCGAACATTCACAACCCGTACACTGGTGTTTTGTTGGTTGGTTTTCGTTTAAGGAGTTCTCGGTGTTAGTAGCCATGTCCACACCAGACTTGATACTATCAAGGTTTAAACTCGTAAACATAGCGTTGATCATACAACGTTTGATTCGATTTGCATCCTCTCCATTGATCTTTAGGAACTTTTTATTTTTCCACCAAAGCAACTCAACGTTGTCTGACACGAAAAGTTTTTTCTCGTTCGCCGGGGATGACCAGCTTCCCTGCAACTCTAGGTCACTCTTTACAAACTCCTTCAAACGATCAAAGTCGCCAGCCCAGGATAGTCTTAAATTCGCTGACATATCGAGTCGAGACTATTTGCAATCTGAAATAACTACAATATCATAAATACTCACATACAGTTCTGCTGTTCTGTTCTCCAGCAATTTAAGGCTCCAACCCGCCGGAACACAACTCACAAGAACTCTAGCAGTTAAATATGCAGTGAGATATCAAATACTTGTGATTTGTATAACATTCCTTTAAGTTAGAGTAACGGAGCACAAAAATACACGTCCGTACACCGGGGCTATGGTGTGTGTATTGAGCCATAAGATCATCCAATACGATTAAATTCCGTTGAGATACGTCCAAGTAATCTGCGTTGTCGATGTCTTCGGCGATGCCTTGATTAAACTCGATTCCAGGCATCGTTCTCATCATATCAAAATAGGAGGGTTGCCATTGACCATAACACCAAACGATACGTTGAGGAGGTGGACTTATAGTCGTTTGAGCATTCTCCAAAAGAGATTTCACCCATACGGTTTTGCCGCTTTGTGTACACCCAGCTACGATGCACGTGAAAGGATGCTGCATAACACTGGACCTATTGCCGATTACAGTTAACCTTCGTTCATCTGTACCGGTGCTATGCATCTGTTTTTTGTGACGTGAACGGTTACCAGGTGTTGAAAACGATCTTCCACAGACCTCGCAAGGATAAGACATGTTTACAGGTTCACAATCAAATGTAAAATGAATTCGAGGTTTGTGTACCGTTACATAAATAGTATTATATGGTTAAACCAACATAAATAATCCTATGATATCCTAAGATGCTGTATGATATCCTACGATGCTGTATGATATCCTAAGATACTGAAATCCTAAGATACTGATATCCTAAGATACTGTATGATATCCTAAGATACTGTATGATATCCTAAAATGTTGTATGATATCCTAAGATACTGATATCCTAAGATACTGTATGATATCCTAAGATACTGTATGATATCCTAAGATACTGTATGATATCCTAAGATATGTATGATATCCTAAGATATTGTATGATATCCTAAGATACTGATATCCTAAGATACTGATATCCTAAGATACTGATATCCTAAGATATTGATATTCTAAGATGTAGATATCCTAAGATACTGATATCCTAAGATATTGATATCCTAAGATATTGATATCCTAAGATACTAATATCCTAAGATATTGATATCCTAAGATATTGATATTCTAAGATATTGATATCCTAAGATACTGATATCCTAAGATATTGATATCCTAAGATACTGATATCCTAAGATATTGATATCCTAAGATATTGATATCCTAAAATACTCATGATATCCTAAGATACTCGTGATATCCTAAGATACTGATATCCTAAGATATTGATATCCTAAGATATTGATATCCTAAGATACTGATATCCTAAGATATTGATATCCTAAGATATTGATATCCTAAGATACTGATATCCTAAGATATTGATATCCTAAGATATTGATATTCTAAGATATTGATATCCTAAGATACTGATATCCTAAGATATTGATATCCTAAGATATTGATATCCTAAAATACTCATGATATCCTAAGATACTCATGATATCCTAAGATACTGATATCCTAAAATACTGATATCCTAAGATACTGATATCCTAAGATATTGATATGATATCCTAAGATACTGTATGATATCCTAAGATACTGATATCCTAAGATACTGTATGATATCCTAAGATACTGTATGATATCCTAAGATACTGTATGATATCCTAAGATATTGTATGATATCCTAAGATATTGTATGATATCCTAAGATATTGATATCCTAAGGTATTGATATCCTAAGATATTGATATCCTAAGATATTGATATCCTAAGATACTGATATCCTAAGATATTGATATCCTAAGATATTGATATTCTAAGATATTGATATTCTAAGATACTGATATCCTAAGATATTGATATCCTAAGATATTGATATCCTAAGATACTGATATCCTAAGATATTGATATCCTAAGATATTGATATCCTAAAATACTCATGATATCCTAAGATACTCATGATATCCTAAGATACTGATATCCTAAAATACTGATATCCTAAGATACTGATATCCTAATATACTGTATGATATCCTAAGATACTGTATGATATCCTAAAATGTTGTATGATATCCTAAGATACTGATATCCTAAGATACTGTATGATATCCTAAGATACTGTATGATATCCTAAGATACTGTATGATATCCTAAGATATTGTATGATATCCTAAGATATTGTATGATATCCTAAGATATTGATATCCTAAGGTATTGATATCCTAAGATATTGTATGATATCCTAAGATATTGTATGATATCCTAAGATACTGATATCCTAAGATACTGATATCCTAAGATATTGATATCCTAAGATATTGATATGCTAAGATATTGATATCCAAAGATATTGATATCCTAAGATATTGATATCCTAAGATATTGATATCCTAAGATATTGATATCCTAAGATACTGATATACTAAGATATTGATATCCTAAGATATTGATATCCTAAGATATTGATATTCTAAGATATTGATATCCTAAGATATTGATACTGATATCCTAAGATACCTAAGATATTGATATCCTAAGATACTGATATCCTAAGATACTGATATCCTAAGATATTGATATCCTAAGATATTGATATCCTAAAATACTCATGATATCCTAAGATACTCATGATATCCTAAGATACTGATATCCTAAAATACTGATATCCTGAGATATTGATATCCTAAGATACTATTTTCGTTAATATATAAATATGTTATTTCCAACTAAATCTTCATTCCGTCGCTGACCGCCGAACAGAGATGACTAGCAGTTATATCAAACACAGACCGTTTGTGGAGCTCTTGTGTATTTCTCATCCAATTCAACAGCAAGCTTTGTTGAATTCTGCATCTCATGAACAGATTCGCTTTCTATGTAATTGCTTGGAAAACTTTACATATCCTAATGGAACATTGAACAAACTTGGACCATTTAGAGATGACCTCGCTGACTTGGCGGACAGCAGTAGGAGTTTTAGAAAGAAAAGGAAAATTCTTGTTCAGCGCGGGAGTGGTTTTTTAGGGTTGGTACTTGCGCCACTTTTAGAGGGGCTTGCAGAATTAGTATAAAACAATCATCATTAATTCACATCGTCATTCCAACCATGAACAGCAAGAAAAGATCATCTCCGAGACATTGGCGTGTTGAAGATATACTTGGACACTTAAACGATAATGTTGATAAAAACAATGCGGAAGAACTTCTTCACTGCATTCTGACATCCACGGATATTCTCACATGGAATCTTCAAGGGGAAATTGTATACAAAGGATAGAATATACGTGGAACAAATATTGTAGATCTTTTGCAATATACTGTTTTACCATATAATACTGAAATTCCGGAACCGGCTGGACTGAATATATTTCTCAAAGGTCTTGCAAAATTGGAAATTGATAAAAGCCTAATCGTAAATGGGCGTGTGCTTACAATGCTAGCCCAGTGGTCCCACCAGGATAGACAGTCTGACAAATCCGAGGATGAGTCTGAAGACATGGACACAGTTTGTAACGGTTGTAACAAAGATCTAGACATCTCCCATTTGGCCACATGTCCTATATGCACATGGACAGACTTTTATCCAAATTGTAAGAGGTGTCACTGTACGATCTGTGATTTTCGACTGTCCGAAGGAAATTTCACGCATGTAATCGCCTGTTGCCAACATTGTCATTGTGACGAAATTATGGATGTTAGTACGGATAAAAGACTTTTTTACCATAAAATAGGCGAACAAAGTGATATGTGACCAGTTTACTGTGTGAATTTGAACTGAACACATCAACATGGTGAGAGGTACGCTTGTTGTAGACACAAAACTATTGAAAGACCATTTCTTGAGACAGCAGCGTGGTGGGAATATCGCTGGGTTTTATGGTGCACGTATGCAAAGGGGATATGGGATCGGAAGCATTTTCAAGAGCCTTGCAAGATATGCTATCCCTCTATTCAAACAAGGAGCTAAAGTTGTTGGCAAAAGAGCATTACAAGCAGCCACAGAAGTTGGTCAAGATGTACTTCAAGGAAAAAATGTAAGAGAATCTGTAAAGGCTCACAGAGGGAAAGTTGTTAAAGACTTTGTTGAGCAAGGAGCAAGGACTTTTCTGCGTCAAACAGGACATGGAAGCAAAAGAAGGCGAAGTCAACGCAGCAATCTATCATCAGTCAAGAAACAAAAACTGGAAGAAGATCCAAGACGTCTCAAATGGATTAGGAAAGATGAAAGCGACTGTGATGATGAAAGCAGCCATGACGATGAATCTGAAAGCGAAACATCTCAAATAAGTGACGATTAGAAACATAAAAATAACAAAAACACCTGAATGTTATGCTCTGAGAAGTAGATTGTACTAAATTTTGTAAAACGTTTTGAAGAAATAAATTTAAAACTGAAATATTGTGTAAATTTTTGCCCTCAAAGTCCGATCTTTCCTATCCGCGCAACCCGCCCGCCTGAGTACAACTATGCCGTACATTAATATATGCATGCACCCAAGCGCCGCTAATGACTTAGCAAACAAATAACAACGTATATAACGATTACATGTTTTTATGACAAAATATATTACAACTGTTCCAATTCTAACTTATATTCTTGATAAGCTTACTTATGATCTGACTCGGTCATCTTAACAGTATATATGTATGTAGAATATTTGCTAAAATAACGTTGAACAACATGTAAATATTGACCTTAATAACGACGTTGACAACTCGGGATTAGGAACTGTTTAGTTTAAAATATGTCTAAAATATGTTAAAATATGATTTTTGTGACGAATAGATTCCTTATTTGCCCTCGTTCGTTTTCGTTCATCATGCGGCAGTCATGTTGTCTTTGACCAGGATGACCGACTTGACAACCATTACAGGATTCCACACAAAGTCTTTCAACTTTTGGCTGCAAAGCGCTCCTGTCTTGTCTAAATCGCTTTCTCTCTTC